CGCCTCACCACTGCCTAGGAGCTGAGAGTCACTGGGTATACTTGTTCCCCCACTGGAGTTTATTCCGATTTCTCTCCACTTGCCCTCACACACCCCCCATGTAACCCTGTCCTGGCTGTGCTGACAAGATTCTAGTGGCTATCTTGGGAGACACAGTGGAATACACAACAGAGTTTTTTCCCCCATCATCATGAGTGGAGAAGTAATCAGTATTTGATTGCTAAATAAATAGCATCATTTGAGTCTTTACACTTGTTGCAGTATGACTAATCACCATAAACCATTGTAGTTAAACTTATTACTTGGTTTATTTCAGAAGCAGAGAGAAATAAAGACAGCTCTTTCTTCTCCAGATTAACTACCCCCCAAATTCCCTAGGATCAAGACTGACCCAGGCCCAAACCAGGAGCTGGGAAAGTGATCCAGGTCTCCCACGAGGGTGGCAGGAACTCAACCTCTGCTGCCTTGCGGGGTCTGCAGTAGCAGGAAGCTGAAGTAGGAGCTAGAGACTGGAATTTAACCCGGATGAATATAATAATGTGCAATATCTAAAGAGAATTAAGATAAGCTCATCTTATTTAAGGCCCCCAGTCGTGTTTGGTATTTTCCACATGAGTTCTGAAAAACATGTGTTAGAAATCTTAGAAACAATATCGGGCATATTACTCATCCATCCACACATCTAAAGTGTTTTTTTTTTTAATTTATCTCACAGTAGTTGAAAACACTTGAGAAGAAAAATTTGGAATTCACTTACAAGTTAACTTGAAACTAATACCTTAAAATTAAGAGTAAGTATTTCAAAAGTGAAAGGAATTAGGAGCATGAGTTTAAAGATAGCATCATGGCACAACAGGTCAAGCCACTGCTAGAGACACTGCCACTCCATATTGGACCAACCTCTTCACTTCTGATACAGCAAGACCTGTAAACATTCTTAGAAGAAAACATAGAGGGATATCTTTATGCCATTACATTTGGCAAGGATTTGTTGGACATTAACCAAAAGCACAAGCCATAAAAGAGGTGATGAATTGGTCTTCGTTAAATTTCAAAACATTTTACTGAAAAGGAGACAGTCAAGAGAGTAAAAAAGGACAATGCAAAAAACTGGAGAAAGTATTTTACCTGTGTATCTGATAAATGACTTGTATCTGCTATATGTAAATTATTCAAAAGAGTCACAACAATAAAATTATTAAATAATGACATGATTTTTTATAAATAAATAATGAATCGCAATACAAATATTAATACATGATTACAAACGGACAAGCTCCTAGATAGGCATTCCTTCAAGGAAGACATGAGAATGGCAAATGAACAGACATGAGGTTACTCAGCATGTGAGCACTGTGGCATTGTGGCACAGTGGGCAAAGCCATTGCTTAGGATGCCCACTTCTCATACCCATTTACCTGGCAGCAGATATTGGTCCAAACACATGGCTTCCTTCCACCTTGCAGAGGAAAGACCAGGATACCTTTCTGGATTTATTCTGCTCTCACCCTGCTGTTGCATATAATTAGAAAGTGTGTTCAGCAGGTGCAGAGACCTAGCTCAACCTGTCCTACACCTACCCTGGCTCTTGTGAGTACCAGCAAGTGGGCACTGGAGCCTAGCCCAGTCTTTCACACCCCAGACCCAGTCCACACCCATGCAGAGGGAAGCCACAGCCATGTCCAGCCTAGTTCAGCACCCCCATTCGAGCTGTGGCACTCACTAGCAGAACCGCTCCCAGCCACAGAACTTGCGCATGCCAGTGGTTGCTCCGACCCAGCCTGGTAAAACCCAAAACTCAGCTTGGCCTTTGCTTTCCATATGCTGCCTCCAGTCCCAACTGGGGGCCTGGCCTGCCCCCAGTCCCAACTCTCACTGGTGGATACTGCAGCCTCTCACTGCCAAGCTTACCCCCATCTCTGCCTTTCATGCAAACCAATAGATTTGATAGACTAGCCTAGCCTAGCCTAACCTAGCCCAGCATGGCCCACACCCCATTCCCTCACATGCCAGTGTGCTGTTTTGGCCTGGCCCTGCCCAATCTGCCCCCTACAGAGCCAACCCATACACCTACCAACAAGTAAAGTAGCCCTGCCAGGCCTGAGCAACACCCAGCCCTGTCTCATGTGCTCATCAGCAGGAGCAGTGGCCCACCAGGGTAGTACCCCGAGTTCCCCAATTCCAGACCCCGATCTCCAGACCCTTTCACAGCAGTCCGCCCCACACTGTCAAACTTTGTGTATGCTGGCACATCCCAGCCCACCCACACACCCAATTCTTGAGTGTGCTTGTGGGTGCTATAGCCTGGACCTTACCGGCCTGTTCCTGACCCCAATACCCATGAGTGTTGTTGAGTTCCATAGTCCTGCCTAGGTCAACCTGTTACCACCCCCAGCTCTGAAGCAAATCAGCTGGTATAGCATTCCCACAGGGATGAGCCCACAATGCCCCACAGAATCTGCTTCCAGTCCCAGTTCTTTTGTGAGCTGGTTAGTGTCATGGTCCAGTCTAACATGCCCTAGTCTAACCCCTGCCCCAACACTCACTAGTGGATATTGTGGTCCAGCCCTGCCAGGCATGCCCCCCAGCTGTGACTTTTGTATGCACCAGTAGGTGGTCCAACGATCCCAGCTCAGGTCTCCCACATGGACAAGTGTGTTGGTTTGGCCCCAAAATGTACTCTACTTTCCCTCCACTAAACGACATGATCTCAGCCTTCCCCTTTACCTGAAAGTGCAGTGAACAGGTTGCTGGAATCTCCCCAGAAGTCATTCCTCACCTGTCACATTATCCCTCATTATCCCTGTCACATTATCCTCCCTCCCACACATCTCCAGACCTGCTTCCCTGAGCAACCCACAGCTCCTCATGCCTGCTCCTCTAGTGGGGTACCATCCCAGCCTTGGGCCCTGCCTGCCTACCCAGGGACCATGCATAATTGTGCATGGGTTCCCAGAGTCTGTCTGTTGGCATGCTAGCATCTGTACCCTGACATATCTTTTTTTTTAAAGATTTATTTTTATTGGACTGTCAGATATACAGAGAGGAGGAGAAATAGAGAGGAAGATCTTCTGTCCGCTGATTTATTCTTTAAGTGGCCGCAACGGCTGCAGCTGAGCCAGTCCTAAGCCAGAAGTCCAGAGCCTCTTCTGGGTCTCCCACACGGGTGCAGGGTCCCAAAGTTTGAGCTGTCCTCCACTGCTTTCCCAGGCCACTAACAGGGAGCTGGATGGGAAGCAGGGTTGCCAGGATATGAACTGGTGACCATATGGGATCATGGTACGTGTGAGGCAAGGACTTTAGTTGTTAGGCTATCACACTGGGCCCCTGACATATCTTTAAAATATATATATATATACAATAGGCAACTGTGCTGGTGCACTGGTATAGTTAACACAAATTTGGCATTAACCATGTCCATGATGACCACCAGCTATGAGCTGCTTTTCTCCCAGCAGTGTAACACTTGCCTAGACACAATACAACCGAGTCAGTTGCCTACATCTGGGGTTTCACCATATTTTTAAGGGAGAAATAATACCAATTCCACATAAAGTTTCATTAAAACTGTATATGATGGAAGATGCACCTACCAATTTTCTAAGGCCATTATTACTCCAAAAGTACACAAAGACCAAACTAGTAAAACAAACTATAGACCAGTATCTCTCATAAGCATGGACAGAAAAACTCCAATGAAAATTTTAGTAAATTGTGCTAGATGAACTATAATACTTTATCCCCAAGTGAATGTTCTCTGTGGAATGCCAGCTTGGTCTAATGTTCCAAATCAAATTTATTATATCATCAAGCTAAGAAAGAAAAATGTTATGCTCACACATGCAGTAAATCCACTTGACAAAATTCAAAGTCTGTTCATAATAAAAGCTTTTAGTAGAGAAGAAAGGTAACTTCAAAAACAAACCAAAAAAACCAAACAGCACACTCAATAACCAATGTCAGCTTTAACGAATCGCTTTCGTCCTAAGATTGGGAGGAATGCAGGGACGTGTACCTTCACCTTTGTACTAACCAATATAACTAGTAGAAATACTAGCAATCTGAATAAGCCAGTATAGGAAGGAGGGAAGGAAGGAAGGAAGGAGGGAAGGAAGGAAAGAAGGGAAGGAGGGAGGGAGGGAGGAGGGTAGGGGGGAGGAGGGAAGGCAAATAGGAAGGGAGGAAGGCAAATAGGGAAGGAAAATAGCGAAGGAAAAATGGAAAACATTAAAAACGTATTTACAAGAGTCATTAACTTTATGTAAAACATTATAAATTATTTACATAAAAATTGCCATATTTAACCAGAAAGGGTTTAAAACCCAAAAATGTTAGGGTGGGTTCCGTTGCGTAGGAAGTTAGTCTTCCTCCTGTAGTGCCAGGATCCCTTTGAATGCCAGTTCATGCCCCAGCTGCTCCACTTCCAATCCAACTCCATGGGTATAGCCTGGGAAAACAGCACAGGATAGCCCAAGTCTCTGGGGCCCTGCACCCAGATGGGAGACCCAAAAGAAGCCTTAGGTTCCTGGATCTGGGTTAGTTCAGCTCCAGCCATTGCAGCCATAATGGCAATGATCCATGGACTGGAAGATCTTTTTCCCTATACTTCCCTTTGTGTAACTCTGCCTTTCAAACAAGAACAAATCAGTCTTTCAAAATATCACACAAGATCAACAATATATAAAAATCCATTGTGTTACAATATGCTAGCAATGAACAGTTTGGAAGTGAAGTGTAAAGGATGATATACAACAACAGTAAAGAATAAGAAATAGGAACACATTTAACAAAACAGAGTGAGGCATTTATACTGAACAGGATGAAAGACTGCTGACAGAGATTAAAGAAGACCTGAATATGTAAATGAAGAGAGAGAGGGAGAGAGAGAGAGCAGGTGTGTGGATCAGGATCTACAGTTGCACTACCATCCCACACTATCTCAATGGGCTATTATATAAGATCTGACAAAGTGTCTCTAAGTCATACAGAAATCCAAGGGGATACTTGGCTGGCAGCGGAGATTCCATGCCCGTGCAGGTGGTCTTCCCACGGCAAGGCTTACCCATTGCACTCCGCACGTGCTGCCCCCTGCCACTTCCCCAAATGTGGGCAACTCGACTGCACAATTCGAGGTAGTGGGGGACTGTGTTCGTGCTCTCCCCTCATAAATATAAATAAATACAAGGGAATTAGAATATCAAAAGCAATTTAAAAAAAAAACTAGAGGCATCTGATGTTCAAACTACACAGCAGCCTCCTGCACACAGTTTCCGAGGGACCCAACAACAGGTATGCTTATGCACATCTTGTACTCCAATATACTCATACGTCCTACACACACAAATCAACGTCTAAACGCATGACATTGCATTCATGCATGCCTAGATGCACACCTAACCACTCACACATGTGCCTCACACATATGCGCGCCTTCGCATGACAAATGTGCATACCTACATGCACGAATTACACACAGATGCCTGTATTATTACCTGTAGAGGCTCATACACACACATTCTCATACCCGTCACTCAGGCTGTTGTTCCCTTCCCACACTGGCCTCCTCTCTTGGGCTAACAAGGTGTACTCCCTTAAAGGCATGGCTTGTGTTTCTTTGTTCAAATGTGTTCTCCAAGACCAGAAGATTAAATCAAAAATATGAAAGCAAGGGGCCCAGTGCAGTGGCCTAGCAGCTAAAGTCCTTGCCTTGAACGCTCCAGGATCCCATATGGCCGCTGGTTCTAATCCCAGCAGCCCCACTTCCCTTCCAGCTTCCTGCTTGTGGCCTGGGAAAGCAGTCGAGGACGGCCCAAAGCCTTGAGACCCTGTATCCGTGTGGGAGATCCAGAAGTTCCTGGCTCCTGGCTCTGGATTGGCACAGCACCGGCAGTTGCGCTTACTTGGGGAGTGAATCATCAGATGGAAGATCTTCCTCTCTGTCTCTCCCCTTCTCTGTATATCTGACTTGGTAATAAAAATAAATCAATATTTTTTTAAAAATATGAAAGCAAAAGGACAAGTGAATTCTCTTATTACATTAGTCTCATGTCCTTTTTCTCTCACTTTCAAGTTAAACCACATCTTCTCCTAAACCCAGCCAAGTTGTTAAATAAATAAGGAAATAAAATGAGTGCATTAGAACTTGAAAGCCTCCAGCAATTTCCATGGACAGTCCGCTTATTACCTTGGCTCTCATTTTGATTTTGGAGTTTAATCTATTAGACTTGAAAAGCTTTCGTTGTCAAAAATGAGACTACTTCACAGACACCTGCAACTTGAAAGCATGCGGGGAGGTGTCTCTAAGAGCTCAAGAGGAAATTAGCTTTTATAATGGAAACATTTAACGGAATACATCAACAGTTCTCTTTCCTCACCTCAAACCGAAGCTATAAGAACATGGCAGAAAGGGCACAACAAACGCATTTCGAAAAAAAATTAATCATTCTACTGAACTGGCAATGGTTTTGGTTTGGAGCAAGGTTTGGGAGTGGTGCAGGTAACGTCGGATGTTCATGGCCATTACTATTATCATTGTGAACACAGTTTTCCTACCAACGACCCTGCGCATGGCCACACCTCATATGTGTCATGGCGGAAGATTCTCATCATTTCAGAGCACTAAAGAAAGCAAGCATGGATGCTTCGACAGAGCATCTATCTCTAAGACTGCAGTGAGTGTGTCCCACTGGGATAAGCATCACAATCATGCTTGCCTTTGAACAGCCGGTAATTTATACTTACCACTAACTACAACCATAATTTGATCTTTCACTCCTAAAAGAGTCATTTTATTAGAAGAAACGCGAAATCATAGTATGTGTTTTTTCCCAACCATGAAATAAAATAGGAACTTGGCAACAAAAGACAATTTAGAAAGTATGCAGATATATAAAGAGTAAGCCGGATGATATCAAATGAATCCTGGGTCATTGAAGAAATGGAAAATCAAAATACAACATAGCCTAACTTATGGGATAAATATAAAAAAGGAATAGTAACAGAGAAGATAATAGTAACAAATGACTATGTAAAAACCACAGTGAGATCAAATAAGCATGGCTATATCTCTAGGACCTAAGGGATAAGCAAGTGAACAAATTCAGGAAGTGAAAACACGATGAAAATTAAAATAGAACTAAAAATGACACAGGATGTTGCAATAAGGAATCGGGTTTCTGAAAAGACAAGCACTGATAAACCTTTAGCTATTTTTTTTTGAGACTTATTTATTTTTATTCGAAATAAATAACAAACAAAAAAAAAGGCTCCTGGCTTTGGCTCCGATTGGCTTAGCTCTGGCAGTTGAGACCACTTAGGGAGTGAATCAACGGATGGAAATTCTTCCTCTCTGTTTCTCCTCCTCTCTATATATGACTTTGCAATAAAAATAATAAATCTTAAAAAAAAAAACCAGTCCATTTGTACAAGAAAAAAAATGCCTCTTTTTTGTTGGAAATGTTGGCTTAGTTTTAATTTGGCTTAAACAATAATGGCTTCTCTGTACTCATTTTTCCTGAAGTGGGTAGAAGCAAAGAGAATGCAAACCTTATTTCTGTCTTTGAGAAACAAGAATTGACATTTAGTTACTGCACACACCCTGTCTGGACAGCAGGGGGCGGTGGAGCACAGGAAAACACATGTGGACCCTGCCGTGGCAGGTGGATCCTACAGCATCTGGAGTTGCGAATCAGCTGTCGTCAGTGGAACCGAGCCCCAGACGCCTGGTATGTTAGTGTGGCCATAGAAGAAACAGAAGGCCTTAAACGAAAGGACCAACAGTCAGGAGAAAAAACAAGACATGCAGTCTAAATCAGGACTATTAAAATAGCTAAATTCACTAGACAACATGGACTATTTTTCACATCAGAACTCTAAGCCACACCTTCCTGCCCCCACTTCCGGCTATCTGTAGCCCAAATCCTGCTCCTGACTTACCTGCTGCCTCCACAGCAACATCACTTCCCAGAGGCACTTTGGCCACACTGCCGTCTTCCAGGTCACATGCTGTCTGTCACTCCAAATAATGTAAACTGACCACAAAAGTAGAGCTATCTTTGAATAATCTGGTTTTCCCTGCAGGAAAAAAATGAGTCTTTGCAGCCACTGAGACCTTGGCTCTCAGTTGAGTTCCAGTTTTCAATTCTCATTCAGTCCATTCTTTTGTTTTTGTGATGTGTTCTCGTTGTGAAGGAAATTTTCCATTTCTTGTTACAGAAAGGTACTGATGGATACATATTGATTACGAACCCTTCTAAATAGCGGAAATGATCCCCTGGGTGTTCTCTCAAAAATGTTTCCAGGGGTATTTGACTGGCCTAGCAGTTAGAATGCCGAGTTTAGATGCAGTCATCCCATAACACAGCCCTCGGGTTCAACTTACAGCTCCAACAGGGGTAAATTTATTCCTCACACCCATCCCCATGTGGGAAAACAGAACTGAGTTCTTGGCTGGGCCATTTAGAGGCATTTGGGGAAAGAACTTAAAAATAGGGGCTCTGGGTTCCACCTCTCTGCCAAGTCAATCAGTATGCGGTTGTAAAATACTTTAGTGGTACAAGGTTTTGCTCAACAGAGAGGAGTGACCTTTGCCCTTCACTGGCTCTGTCCTCATCTCCCTTCATTGTCTGCACCTGCCACAGCCATGCTCTGCTTGTGGGAATGGCCAAAGATCTTTCATCCCAAGCACAGGCGTCTACCACCTGATTCCCAAAGCAGCCCAGCTGGCTTCCTAAACAATGATAAATTGGGCCTATTGAAAAAAAAGCTTCCATCACTGGCTTATTGACCCAGCAAATTACTTATCATTAACTGGGTGCCAACTATTCTGCTTGCTCCCTTATCTAGATTGATAAGACCACCAAGGCCAAAGCCATAAAGGGAAAGATTGATGAAGGTTTTTAAAAAACGCCTTCCAAACTGAAAGTTTCAAAAAGATAAGCAAAATCAAAAGTTCAGGTGGAAACTTGGGAAAATATATTTGTAAAGGATCTGATGACAGCCCAATTTCCTTACCATATTTTTCAAAGCTTTATCAAAGCAGGTTTCAAAAGGCAAGCAAGATAGTGGAGGCAGTGGGGGGGAGAGGGGAAGTGGGAAATACATAAGCTGGGACACAATAGACAGACAGAAAAGGTGTGAGCCCTTCTTGCCTGTCATAAACGTTTTGGCCAATTCTCCTATGAAAGATGGCTTTGCAATAGCAAATTATTTGACCATCGTTGAACACAACATAGGAACCTTCAGATAAAAGACCCAAGGCCCATTTTAATACTATCCCATTTTGATGCTCAGGTTCAACCATGCAGATTCAGTTGTGTTGAAATGTTATTGGGCACAGGATGTAAGCTTATGGAGTAGGCTGAAGCAGAAGACCCAGCAAATGTGTCCAGATTCTTAATCCCCATAAAGCTTTTCTTCCTTCAGGGTCCAGGACAGGAGCCTTGTGCAGTTGGGGTCTGTGGTCCATGTGCAGACAAGTGGCCCAGACCAGCTGTAAGAGGGGAGGGGCAGGCATAGACAGCTGTTATCAAGTCTTACAGCTGGCTTTGGGGAAGCAGCTCTAGTTGTTCAGAAGGAAAGGACTTCCAGCTCATCCATGGCTGCTTCCTGGGGGAAGAGCTGTATGGCTCAGGAAGGCAGAGGTCAGCTGTACTCTTAAGACCTCTACTTTAAGATGCAGAAAAACACACAAGCAAGATGTTGCTATTTCAACTTCACAGCTTAAAGTGATGAGGCCCTTTTCAGCTGTCCAGCTAAACATCATTAAGTGGTTGAGTCTACAGAATGTGTATTAGCATAAAACTCAGCAGTTCGATCAAAGGGTGAAGGTTAATTTTTTTTAATTCAACTCAAAAGCATGCATAGCCCTTTACATCTTGACAATAAGATGCTGGACGTGATATCTTTGTCTATGCCTGCAATGTCAGATACACTTAAATAAATGAATGATGGACTGTGACTCTTGTTGAAGGACTATACTGCTGTAATAATATAGGGGGAAACTTGGGGGCAGGAGGGTTAGGGAGGGTAGAAAGGGAAACCCCTGAGCCTAAGGAACTGTATCATCAAAAATAAAGAGTTTTTTAACCATTAACATTTCACCAGCAGCACAGCCATTCAGTTCTCAGGATTCTTCACATAAGTGAGGTCATCTCTTTTAAATAA